TACGCTCCTTTCACCAACTAGCAGAGGAAGGAGGTATTTCTTGGGCGACGAAACAGGCGATTTCAATTTAGCTCAGAGGCTTCATTTAGGCTTGATGATATTTTACATGCAGTAAATCTACTAATGTGAACATCCGGCTTTACTTCCCCTCCGAAGGAAGGGGTAGAAACGATTTTTTTGCCTTTAAAAATCCACGGCTTCGATCGGGTTGGTACCCGCGAACTTGGATGACTGTCCGATACGCTAATCGTTACACCATCGCCGCCCAAATTGCCTGTTTTTAACAAAAAACAATTTTTTGAAAAATTGAACGTGACAGTATTTGAAGAGCTGTTTTTGAAAAACACGTTCCATTAAGAAAAAAATGTTTGTATTCATAATTGTAATTGCAGGGAGAGGCCAACATTTTTTTGAATGTTTGCAATTTTCGAATAATTAGGGATTTTAACAAACATGGTACTTGCACCATTCTGGTAAACGTCATTCACTCTATCCAGCAACAAAATTTTATAAAAAACGATTTTGGCATGTTTGAAAATGTCTCAGGGGCTTCATGTAAATTACTCTCTAAAATTAAAATATTAATTTCAAATTCAAGGGGCGCAACATCGAATCGTGAGATCGATTGAGAAATATCAATTTTGGAGAAAATCGGCTGAACGATTTAGTCGCTAGCGTTTTTGATGGACGGATAGTTAGATAGACGTTATGCCGTCATTCGATTTTTCGGTATCAAGGACCCACAATCATGGATTTCTGGCTACACCACGTGGTATAGGATTTTTCTCTCTACTGCGTAAGCGGAAGCGAGAAAGTAAAAATGCTCATATAACCTGCTCTTAGCGCTTTAGTTGTCCAACTTAGCAATATAAAGGATTAGCATGATAAGTGTGGAAACACAGGCTCTCAGAGAGCCTCAACAATGACTGCGTAATGCGCAGAAAATCAATTTGAGCGTTAATGGGCCAGGATCCCCCTAACAATGTGCTTGAAGCTGGTGCATGGCGCTCCTCTGTGTGTGTGCGTTGCTGATGGCCGAATGTTGCGCTGCGCAGGCGCCGAGCCGCGAGGCGAGGGGCGTGGACGCGGACGGGGCGAGCCTGTGCTCGTGGGAAGCGCCGGGCGCGGCGCGGGCAGCGCAGAGCGCGGGCGGGGCGGGGTCGCTGGTGCTGGCGGCTGGCGGAGGCGGGGCGGGCGGGGGGGCGCGCGGCCGGGAGCGGCACCGCCTCAGCGCGTGGCGGTGCGCGAGAGACGCCGGACAGATGCCCGAGAGTGGCTGCCTACTGCCACTCCGCCCGCCCCCGCTTGCCCGCTCGCCCTCGCCCTCGCCCTCGCCCTCCGTCGCGTTTTGCGCCTTCGCCCTTGTGAGAGGTGAGTATCAGAAATACACTCTACCCAACTATTAATATTTCTATTTGTCCAAAAACAAGCATTACCATCTGTGATGTACTTGTGTACATTTTGTTCTAACACGATGTTAAACTACTGGTGCGACAGAATGGCGCAGATTTTCTTGTACTAGTGAGATGATGTTTGATTGATTGTTACTGATTCCGGGCGCGCCAACTGCGAAGATTACTATTCCCGTACGTGTAGTTCATGTGTTTACCTCGGGAGTTGACGGCGATCTTTCCCCGTTGGACTCGCCTACCGTCTGCTAGCGGGCTTTCCCCAACCAAGTATCTCCCACCAGCGGGGCACCGTCCCAGCCGGCACAAGGTCTAAGCTCTCAACCTCTCTCCCAGAATGTGTGGTAAGGTAGTGAAAGTTAGTGTAAGGGCGTATGTAACTGGTGAGAATAGAACTAAGAAGTGGAAGAAATGATCGCGCGCGGTCCGTGACCGTTTGTTAGGGTACTGCTCCGGCATCCCCAAAAAGTAAGACACCCCAGAGACAGCAAAAAATGATAAAAGTCCAAAATATATTTATGTGCACTTTTTCGATGACTTTTTTCTTGCATCAATACTAATCAAAATATCGCTTAAGCCAAAGGAATGTGCCGATTTTCCATATGAGTTACATTTCATGGTGTTGCAAAATCAATTGTCATGAGGAGGCGAGGAGTGTCCCTCTCCAATATTTCGCGATTGATTAATAGGCACAATTATTAAAATTGTTTAAGAACATTTCACCTTAAATTCAAATATATTTTAAACTATTTGGATTCCTATCGGAGTGACATGTGTGAAAACTTAACCACTAATAAAGAAAGAAGGATACGAAAAATGTTTCATTCCAAGAAAAAGATTAAAAATGTTACGCGCCATGGAAGCACGGCGGGCTGCCGCTCCGAAATCGGGCAGAGGTAAGCGTCACATCCGTTGCCGGCGACAGGCCCACCCAAGCACGTCCGGCATATCATATTCCTTTTTTAATGTAGTACGCAACGACTGATAAGTGGATGTTGGGCGATTGCTCTTGCGCGGTGAAGGGGAACGATGCATATTATGCTACTGACTGTTGCGACCTGACCAGAGAATATGTAAAGAAAATTATTATTATTATTATTATTATTATTATTATTATTATTATTATTATTATTATTATTATTAGCTAATCTTGAAAAATAATACTTTAATTTCTCATTTATTGCTTTATATTACTTTTGAACTTGATCCTCCTGAAGTCTCTATATTATAATAGCTTAATTACGCCACATTCGCAATGGGACATTTTTTTATTCATTTTATCAATGTATCCAGATGTTCAGAAATTGTAATCTTACCTTGTTTACTTGAATTGAAAATCCAATCGCCGATTTTTCAGATGAACAAATTTCTCCATCACTAATTCATTGAAGTTACTGGTTTCACGGATAAGTTGCTTCTCTACTATGTATTTGATTGCGAGGTGCACGATCGGTCGGTTGTCATTATATTTCTATGAAATGTTTTTATCCACTTTAATGTTGAAAATAATCGTTCAGGTTCTGAAGAAGTTATTGGAGTAGTGAGAAGAATTCGATCACGTTTGTAGACTTCTGGAAAAAAAATTCCGACATTTCATTTTGCAGCATTACTTGAAATAATGGTGCCGCTCATGTTGGATTTCTAAATTAGCTTTTCTTGTACATTCCTTGCAACAGTGTTCTGTACTGCATTTGATGTTAATTTTTAAAGCACCGTCAATGGTACTAACAAAATCCAGTAACCCTCGAAATATACCCGAGTTTTCCGATTGTTGGCTTTCGTCGTACCTTCACAACGCAAGCTGAGCTTGCGCACCACAAAGTTTGACATAGTTTAAAAGTGGCCAGAATATGACTTCTCTTACGCACTTCATCGTTGTCACTTTACAGTGAGACGATAACTGTCGCTAAGCCAAATCACAATATTCAAGTAAAGCCAGTTCAACATTACTGTTTATATGGAGATGTGTCTTTTGATGGTTTTTAAGTTTCTCACTCAAATTATAACTGATCTTCGTCCACAAATTTTCCTCCTTGCTAAAGAAGATGTAAGGAAAACAAAATAGTGCATTTCCCCCTTACATTCACGTAGTCACTTATATGTCGAATTAGGATTGAATCGTCGATGAAACTTTTGTTTGATGATTTCACTGTTGTTTCAATTTCCAGAATAGGCTGATCCGGACCAAGCTTCTTAATTGAAATAATTGAACACCAGGATGCAGTAAATGGTGCAAACTAAAACTGAAGTACTATTCGAACCCGAGATTTAAAACTTTAGTGGTTGCCCGTGCCCCTTTGAAAGAACCGGCCCCGGGACGTAGCAGCGAGGCGACGGGGCCCCAGGAAAATACGGACAGCGCTCACGGGAGGTCGCTGAGGTCGGCTCCAGCGGAGCCGTCACGCTTTGGTCGGCGCAACCGAGCGCGCCATCGGCCGTACGGCCGAGCAGTCGGCGAGCCTTTAGCCCTGACCGTGTCTAAAACGTCACGCAGAAAGCAGTGAGATGAGTTCTAGTCGTCCCATCATAGTGCGAGCTACGAGTGTGCACGTTAATGAGTGACTACGCTGTCAGCCAGTATAGCGGACTTCTCTTCTGGTATTTGGATCGTGACCACGGCATTGTTGTTGGAAATCTCTTCGGCTTTGGTTAAATCTGTCAAGTCCCCGGTAAATGTGGTTATTTTGTGACTACGCGTGTTAACGGCTTTGTCTGTATGTTCAGGAATTGTGAATAAAACTGTTTTATGAAATTAACTTGTTTTGGTCATATCAAAAACACGTTTCTACACTGATTTTAAGTCGGCCCCCACCGTACACATCAGATTCAAAACTTCGAAGTGTCGCATCGGGGACACTGTTTTACTGACGGCGCGTGGGAGACATCGACTTTGAGTTGGGTGACGCGATAGCCTGATAAGAGCTGCGCCAAGCGGAGTTCACGGCGTAAGTATGAACATGATCCCATGAAAGCGCCCTATAAAAACTCAAAAGCGACGTCTCGTGGCTCCTAATGGTCCTTACGGAACGAGGTCTGAGCGAGATATTGTTTCGAAAACGTGAACAACAATGTAGCCATATCGGTCAATGTAATACTGGTATGGAAATTATAAATAGAGGAACAGAAAAAAGTTATACAATAAATGAGGTAATAACCATATGTACATTCTATTTTGGTCATTGTTTTGGATGGTGCATGACCCTGTGAACCTTATAAAGAACCGCCCCCGTATGACACAAATACCTTCGAAATAAAACACTGGATGTTATGATTATATGTTATATTTAAGTATTAGAGGTATAATTATGTATATATGTTATGATTAAGAGGAATTTTGACTCAGCATGGTAGAGGCATAGCAGCTATGAGTAAACGTCGATTCTTATTTTGTATTGTATTGTCTACATGTTGATGACTGTACGACGAGAGATGACAAAAGGCAAAAGCAAAAAACAAATTAGCTCCAATTCACGATGTGTATGACTTGCTAGTACGTACCAGGAACTAGTTGCACAGTCGATGAATCATTGTTTTGTTGCTATCACCAAGTACATACATTTACCTAAGAGCTGGAACGCATTGATTCACGAAATTTTCCTATACCTGCAAAATTTCCCTATACCCATTACTATATATAGTCCCAAATATTGAAGAAACCAACAGGAACATAACTACTTATAACTCCTATACCTCAATCAGCTTAGCCAAGGAACCAAAGAAAATAAAATTAACGCTAGTAGGTGCCATGAAGAAAAGTAACAGATGTATACCGCAGTCTACTTTACTGAGAGGGAAACAATTGATTATGATTTTGGTCATGACAAGAAATTTACTTTGCTATCGATTGCACCAAAGCTTAACAAGAGCGATATTTCTATCAACAATACATTCTGTGCCCAATATAGGCGAATAAAGAAAATCAATGTACTCTAAAATGTGGAGAAAGGAGGAGTGGATTGTCATGATGAAAGATGTACTTACACAACAGCCAGAAAAGCTAGTCGCTGGCCAACGAGAATATTACATAGAACGATGGCGTTTCCTACGATGAGTATGTGATTTACACAGAAAAAATTCTCGTGAAATTGGTACACAGAGAGATAGAAGGTCACAATTCTTGAAAAAATTGTCGATAAGTTCTATCAGTCCTTACACACGTCAAAGACTGGCAGCACAACAAACCCCAAAATCTATAAAGTTGATCATTCAAAGCTGGAATAGAAACAGACAATTATACTCTTGAGAATCATTCACCTGGGACAAAGAGATGATTCCTCCTTTGCCCAAGACAAAGAGAGAGAGAAAAAAAATCAGGACATTTTGCGGCGTTAGCTGTCACCTTCTAGTTCTCGCCTGGAAACGGTAGCGA